AAGTGGAAATAAATACTGGATTCAAACAAAAGAGTGCAGATTATGAAGTCTGTATACTATATTAAATCTGTATACTAGATTTAAATAGAGAAGATGGGCACATCCGACTACCTAATGCAGTAGTTACACTACACGATTTTTTGCCCCTATTTTCCCCTTATGACAATCTTAGAACGTTGGCCAATCTAAGATTGTCGCTGGTGATTTCGTAACCGATCATCCTGCAGTGTGTGGTGAGTTACGGTAGATCGTCGTGGCCGCTCCGATCTAAATCAGGGGTTTTCCCCGACTGGGAGCTTAATGCTGAATGTGACAGGTAGCCAATCAGAAAGCGCGGATTCTCCTCCGTGCTTTCTGAGGGGAAATTACGGAGGGGAATCCCAAACAGCTGACACGGCGCAACCCGAAGTCCAGCGGACATCGGAGATGATATGTGGAAACAACATTAATGTTTATTCAACATTTCGTGCAAAGAATATCCACAGAAATGACCAGAAGAGGAGTTGGAGCCAAATTGCTACCGCAGTTGTTAAACCCGGTAACTTTTCAGCTGTTCATCGTTAACATGACATAAATAGGTTATAATGGTATTCATTCAGTCAGGACTTTACGATGACACTAGCCACATGCATTGCAGGTAGATTGTAATAAAATATTGATTAATGACTGGTTTTAAAATTAGTTAACTGGACTTGTAGCCATTATTTTGTGCCCATTGTTGGACACCAAATGGCACGATCAAACCTGTTATACGTAGGATTTCTGTTGGCTGGTGTGTGGTCTCTCAGGTTTTGAAAATGGGCCGACAATCAGCCAACAGTTCTAAGATCGTGTAATGTGCGCTGGACATTAAACTAAGGAAATGAGGAAGGGAGGGTCAGTGGAGAGCACCGGAGTTGAGCATTTTTTTTCATCCACTGTCATCAATAGAAAATGAAAAAGGCAGGAAGAAATGATAAAGCCGATAAATTAAAATAAGGTCGATAGCTTTCATTTATCATGCGATTAATTGATTTACCCTTTATCGCGACAGGCCAAAAGTGATCAAATGAATGACTATTAGCAGGCCTCTGAAAAGCTCAGTTACTGCCAGTGAGGGAACTGGGACGCATGTAAAGTTGTAAAAGGGTGGTAGATCTTGATGACTGGACCTGGGCAGCCCTGCTATATATTGCCCTCACATGCTCTGATATGATATACCTTATTTTTGGCATGAACGTTGGCTCCAGCCTTCACCAGCAGTTTCACACACTGACTGAATCCATGCCAGGAAACCTCGTGAAGAGCGGTGTTGCCATCCTGACAGTGTGGAACACAAAAAGCACATTTCATTTCAACCCCTATCTCACACATGAAGTCATCTTTTGAGAATCTAGATGTTAAATGACCCATTAAATTTTGGTTATGAGAACTCTAGAAAGGTCAGACATCTGTCAAAACGCTTGAGAGCTTTACAACTAAGCAGCAGCTCATGTACTAATTATCACCATAATTAAACTAAAAGAGTTACAATATTTCCCTTTCAGACACCTGGAGTAAAGAAGCTTATATTCAACACAAACAGTTTGTTATCCAGCTGTGGAAGATTTTGTTTGAGTCAATGAACACATTTTGAGAGTGCCCTATATTTGAGGTCTTGATAAAGTGCTACACCACCACAGGCCATTTAGCATTTAAAAAACTTCAGTCTTCAGAGGCACTATTACCTGTCTCTATCTGTTTTTGGATTGTCCACAAAGACAATAGTGATAAACTATTAAAGCTCTATCAGATTCTAAAATATACTCGTTACCATGGTTTTATCCCCCTTCCTCCACCTGTAGCTTTGCCTGACTGACAAACGTGATCTTAGTTGCAGAATCTAAAGATATTCATCAATGCACAAAAGGTTGCAGTCGTCCAAAACACTAATTAATGTATAACTTTGCCAAGCATGAATCAGTTATGTTTTTCAAACTTTGCTTAAGCCAGAAATTGACAAAGAAAGCAAAGCATGAGAATCCCATAAAGCCTAATGACACGACTAACTGTCAAAGCCTCAGGTTCACATTCTGCCACAAATAATCAGCAAAAACACAGACACATTTTACAAAATGGTATGAGTCACCAGTGCAGAGCAGATAGTAATTATTGGGCTGCTAAACATTTCATACTGGCTAAATGTATCCAGCACACAATGTTTCTGTCAGTTAAGCATAACTTAATTCATTTAATTCATTTCAGCTACTTTTAACAGTAGTTGATTGAAAATTCCAGATTTCTAATTTGGATCATATTTGGAGGCAGATGGAGCAACCAGTCAAGCTATAGCTAGAGATTAAAAACAGTTTTGACATCAACAAGCTTCTAAAGCACAAATTAAAATATGATGCTCACAAATCTTTGTTTTTTTGTTGTTGTTTGTGTTTGCAGATTTTGGGTCTCAAAGAAACAAGGCGAGCTTTAGCTCTATCTACTGGGAGATCTGGCTTCAGCTTCATTCATGAAACATCTGGTAATATTACATGTTTCCTTGGGATTTGTAGGGATTTTAGCTTTGTTTTAGATTGTGCCTGCTGTGCATAAATCAAAGATTAGTTTAAAGAACAGAGCATCTCTGAGTTCTACCACAAATGGAAGTGAATGGGAAAGTCAGCATACATGAAAACACTCAAGATTTTTTACAGTTTCAGCTTTGCACCGAGTTTGGAGTGACTGGATAAAGTCACAACAAAACAGTTACTGGTTATAATTTATCGTTGCTATTTTTATTTTCGTGAGAAGAAACTTTGTGAATTCTCTCACACTGACTCGGCTGCATCGTGTATTCAGCAGGCTCTGATGGATCAAGTGATGCTGACCGTGAAGCATCACTTCAAAAGCCCTGGACAGAGGGCTAACTGGCCCTCTGTCCAGTTAGCATCTGTGTGTTGTTGTGAATGAGTGTGAGCCTTTGTGTGGCTTTTGACTTGCACCTTATCCTGTCTCTCCAGTGCACACCCTTCCTGGATGAGTGCGCTGATAATGTCAGTGTTTCCCACCACAGCAGCACGGTGTAAGGCTGTCTGCTCCCCCTGCACACAGACACAGGCACAGCAATGAGAAACCTCTGACGCCAACAGACATTAGTAACAACAGTAGATACTCACGTTGTGTAGTTAGGATTAGGAGAAACAGTTTTTATGGTATGACTAATTAAATCAGCCAACTTTATTGGAACGACCACAGAAAAATCTAGAAACCAGAACTCACAGCAGTGCAGCTCCTTTAATGTCATGTTATTATCAGATAATCCTGTCTTTGTGTTCAGATCACATCACAGAGAATGTGGTTAAAGCTAAGCAGAATGTTTGAAGTACAGAGAGGTGCAGTCTATCCAGGCTTCTGAAGTCCGTTTTAAAATGTCAAAATGATAACTCCTTAATTAAAGACAACAATACAACCTTCAGACTTTTTAATTATAAGAAAGAGGAACAAATGGAAGTTTAAGGATCATGCTTTAGTAGTAGTAAATGAGCACAGGTCTATCAGGTTTAAATGTTGGTGACATACAAAATAACACAAACGTTTGCTCAGTAATTTGTGGTACTTGAAGAACACTAGAGTGACCAGTAAAAATGTCACATATGATCACATTTTTAAATTTAGAAAACCATTTATTTTAGAAGGATCTGCTGAACATCAGCCCATTTAAATATTGTCCAAAGTTAAGACTATGCTGCTGGATACAACATATAAAAAGAAAAGTATCCTAATGGTAGTTCAAAATTATTGAGGTGTGAGAAAAAAAGAGTGGTCAAAATACCTAAATCTACAGAGATATACTAATATTAACAGTTTGCTGTTAAAGGGTCTGGAACACCTGAGGCTGCAGCAGGACACCCAGCATATGGAAGAATCATTGTGTCCCTCAAGGCCCAAGTGGAAAGGTTTAATTCATTGGATCAGATTAAAAACAACTCAAAATCGTAAAAACATAGCTTGTAACTGATTTAGGGCTGGTAATTCAGCACTTTGAACTACTGGTAATAATTACCAATTAAAAAGGCAATTGAATGTGTTTGTTCCAAGTTCATTTGTTGTTTTGGAAAAACATTGTCACCATGATCAACTTTAGTTTGAATATAACTGCACAAGCAGTCACATCCAGTTAACTCTTGTGGTGGAAAATGTTATTATAAGGTAACATCTGCTGCATGTTATATTATGTGCTTGTGAACTCTCGCCAAATGAACCTGTTTGGGTTACACACACAAGGTTGGATGTTGTTTTCCTACAGCTGCATGGGAGCCAGACCATCTCTCCCTTGTTTTGGATCCCTTGTCCTTGGTGTAAAACCCATGTGTTGACTGTGACTGGCAGAGCTTTCATTCAGAGCTGCTTCATAATTGATTGTCTTACAAGCTCTCTGTATTGTGCTCAATATACACATAAACTTGACTGATTGATTCCATCTAACAGTGCTTGGTAATTTACACAGCACTCTTTATGTTGGTTCAAACCCCAACAGAAAACTCTAGGAACAGAAAAAGAAAAGATAGATAGATGCTCTATCTATCTATCTATCTATCTATCTATCTATCTATCTATCTATCTATCTATACATCCATCCATACATACATATGTTCTTGGTGTATCTATATATCTAGATATCTAGATAGATAGATAGATAGATAGATAGATAGATAGATAGATAGATAGATAGATAGATAGATAGATAGATAGATAGATAGATAGATAGATAGACAGAGAGAGAGAGAGGAGGCTAAACGAAATGCGAGCAAGAAAAATGTTTCATGAGGCCAAACGACAACAACAGAAATCTGGGTGGAAAGGGAAAAAGAAAGGATTTGGCTATTACGGAGATTCTGTGGACCTTGGAGAAATCCAACATAGCTCTCCTTTGTTCGCTCTGTATTTCTGTTGATCAGTTAAAAGTCTATTAGAAAGATGCAAAATGTTAAAAATTACATGCATCTATAATACACGTCATGCCTGAAGAGCAGGCTTAAAGGTAGTTCCTTTCAGTTCTGCAATGAACATGAAACCACAAGCTCCCACTTCAAGGATTGCTTTGTTCGTTGGCATCATACGAGGTAATCCACCGAGTGAACTTCTAGCACATGGAGCTATGACTTTCAGCCTTCATCTGCTCTATGTCATCATCCTCATCCATGCTGCCTATGTGCCTTCAGTGCTATAAATGTGAGTATTGTTGTTGCACTCTACTGACCAACAGACTTGTCAGATGAAACAGACTGTGGAAGATGATGTGTTCCACCCCTTAGAGTTCACACAGCTTATGGTCCATTACTTCTTCCCAAAGAGTATCAGGGACAGATTGTTGTGTGATGATCAAAACCCATATTCCATGTCGGGACCTTTCAGTTGACTGCATGGTGTAATAAACACATCCTTATCAGGTAATGTAATGCAACTTTCAAGGGGCTGGTATTAAAAACAGACACTGTCCGATGCTAAAGCACAGTGCTTCTTGTTTCCTGGTAGCTCTTTGTCTCTTTAAAAAAAACAAATAAGCATAATAACATTATGCAATGCTTTCCTATAAATTAAGACATTCCAACAATTAGGACTTTACTTTTTTCCGTTGTGTAGCTCCTTCATAAGCTGCATGCCAACTTTTGAACAAACGTGATTACAGAAGAACAGAATTACTTTTAAAAGTCCGGTTTATGTTGTCTCATGTCTCTTTAAAGAATTGCAGTTACAAGAAGAGAACATCATTAAATTATAAAGAACAGCCAATGTGAACTGATGTGGTTTTGTACATTGTGGCGTGGTCTGCAGGGAAATGCATGTTTCAGAACAAACTCAAATGTTGAGGCACAGCTCAGTATAAGGTTTAGCATTACTGATTATAAATAATGTGACATTGCAAACACAGGAATGCATGTATGTGTAACAGTCTGATTCTACTGTAAGCACACATACAGACAATTGACCATATTCTTCTTCCCTAACTTTAAGCTCTTTAGTTACAAAACAGCCTTACTCAGTGAAAAAATGACACAAATAGCAATACTCCACAAGAATATGCCCCTTTGAACATAATTATGCCCAATATTGGATTGTAGAGTTCCAGGAAAAAGATTCAGCTTACATCTTTACTTAACCATAACGGGAATGGCTGCGTGCAAGCAGATTAGCAGTAAGGGACACTGAGCAGGTCAAATATGACATAAAAGCACAGAGAAAAAGATCAACGCACATGACTTCTCTGAGAAAAAAGGAGAAATGGGAGGGGAAAGCTGAGAAAAATGTCATTCCAACCTGACTTTAGCTGAACCAGACACAGGTCCAGAAGTGAAGGATTGGAGGTTGTTAAGGGAAGGTTGGTTGAAGGGGCACAGAGTTCCACCAGCTCATTAAAATTAGGTTTGGCTAACCTCCTTCACTCTTTCTGATGCGTCAGTGTCTCTCCCAATTTTTCTCCACTGTCTTCTTCCCTGATCCTCCTCCTTTTCCTCTTCCTCCTGTTTTAGTCTGCAAGTCCTGCTCCCCCAAGTCCTGGAGGACAAACTGCATCCAGTTGCAGGGCTCACTGACCACAGTGAATTCACTTGACAATGCCAAGGATCTGGCTTATCACTGTCTGTGTGGAAAATGGATGTGCATCCTGTAGGCTCTCCCACAAGTAGGCACTCCAGAGGGTCCCATTCAAGGCTACCGAAGGCCATTAGTCTACAGTTATTAATGTGTTCAAATTAACTTACAGTTGAAATGGTTTTTCCAACTTAAAAGGATCTGAAAGCAAAAAAAGAAGCAGCTGCTCATAACCATCATCAGTTAGGAATGGAAGTGGCTGATTACAATAAATAACAAATAGCTATGGCCAATATGGCTGACTCAATCCACTTACATCATCTTGAATGTCCAGATCGCATCCAGCTTTCAGCAGGATCCGCACAACCTCAAGGTGACCTTTGTGGGCAGCCAGGTGAAGGGGGCTTCTGCCGTACTGTGGAAACAAAAGCATGCATGATGCTGTAGGTAGAGGACATCACATCTACATCTACACTGAAGGGTTGAATCCCACACACAGTTCACAGTGTTGGATGGTTCTAAATGTCAAAATCGCTGTAAAATGAGCTGTGGTAGCACAAGGCAAGACAATCTGTCACCCACCGTAATGCACCACATCACTGAATCCATGGAAAACAAACAAATACTTAATCTAAGCTCTAGGAGAAGGGGGGGATCTGCACAGCTGTTTATGTGAGCCAAACAGAGAATACAAAGTGATATGAGCATCCTGCTGGAGACGAGTCTGTGGACAGCCACCCAAACCAAAATAGTCAAATGTTGTTTTACTTATACTTACGTTTTCCTTTTGAAAACTAGATGAAATTTGAATAAAAATTCATTTAGAAGGTAAGCTATGACAAAAAGACTTATATTTTTGTCATAGTTATGATTTTCTGAACTTCTGTCAAACATTAAAACTCCTACCTGCTCCTTGGACCTCACCCCTTCCACTCTCATAAAATGCTGTCTACCAACCATCTTCTCCCTCATCACAAAGATTATTAACTCCTCCCTCACCTCTGCTTTTGTCCCACAGTCTCTCAAACCAGCTGCCATCACCTACTTTCTGAAGAAACCTGGTCTTGACCCTGATAATCTTGCAAAAGTCTGACCCATCTTCAACCTCCCCTTCCTGTCCAAAATCCTTGAGCGTGCCATAGCTGCCCTTCTTAAACCTATCTCAACTCCAACTGTCTATTTGCACCATCTCTGTCTGGCTTCGGCCCCAAACACACTACAGTCTCCTTAAGTGATCTCCTTCTCTCATCAGACTACAGCCACTGCAATATCCTCTCATAAAGTGAGAAAAAAAAAAACTGTTTTCACAGCAAGATAATAGTTCCGACAAGGCCTGTTAGGCCTGTCAAGACAACAAACTTTGCTGGATAATAAAATTTCCCAGAATTTATTGCAATAAACGATAATATTGTTGTTTTGAGACTATTTTCAAGTAAGATAATAGCAATAATGGCAACAAACTTTAAATTCTAATTAACATTTGAATACTTGAACTGGAAGACATTTGAAACATCCAAAATAAATAAAGAAAACAAAAGAAACTATACATGGGCTGCACAGTGGCGCAGTTGGTAGAGCTGTTGCCTTGCAGCAAGAAGGTTCTGGGTTTGATTCCCGGTCTTTCTGCATGGAGTTTGCATGTTCTCCCTGTGCATGCGTGGGTTTTCTCCGGGTACTCCGGTTTCCTCCCACAGTCCAAAAAACATGACTGTTAGGTTAATTGGTCTGTCTAAATTGCCCCTAGGTGTGTGTGTGTGTGCGCATGGTTGTGTGTCTGTGTTGCCCTGCGACAGACTGGCAACTTGTCCAGGATGTACCCCGCCTCTCGCCCGGAACGTTAGCTGGAGATAGGCACCAGCACCCCTCCCGACCCCACTGAGGGACAAGGGTGTTCAGAAAATGGATGGAAACTATACATAAAATGAATTATGAAGTCTGTGAGAAAACAATATTATCTTTCAAAAAAGGTATAGTTGAGATTGAAGATGTTTACCATTCAGTTTTTGGTAAAAAGAGAGAGAAAAGAGGAAAAATGATAAATCAAGCAAAATGATAAATCAAGTAAATGAAAATTATAGAGTTTTTTTTTCTTTTACCATGCAATTAATTCATTTACTGTTTATTGTGACAGGCCTAGTTCCAAACTTCAAACAACTCCATTTAGGTAATGATTACTATGAATCTGTAATTATTATGACTACACACAATTTAATTACACATCTTCCCACACACAAAGAGGTTTGTGTGTGGGATTAAACACCAGACACCTTGCCAGGTTGAGGTCTGCTGTGTTTGGGTGTGGCATAGATCCACATTCATCAGCCTGCAGATTGGGTTACACTGGACCTCGCTGGAACGAAGCCGCTGACAGAGCTACAGCAGGCCTCGGGCCAGCAGCAGGCCTCCGCCTCACACCTCTGCTTCAGGCTGGCCTGTTGGATTCTAACATCCACACTCACACATCATTTAAGTGATGTGGATCACTTAAATGATCCACATCATAGTTGGATGATGTGCTATGTGCCTACATAACTTGCTGGTACATAACCTGTCAGCAAATTATGTGTTCCTGGACGGAGATGCTTTGAGACCACCAAATCTGACACAGAGCTAGAGTTTCCATAATCAACAAGCGTAGTGTGTCAGGTTTTTGTAACACGATCATTTGGAGGATCTTCTCCAGAATGCTTTTCTTGGTGTACCTGGATGTTAGAGGACTTTTTGGGGCCATATTTTCTGTCTATTAGCAACTTGCTAAGTCTGCATGTCCTCTCTTTGAAATACACACTCATTCATAGAATTACATGAACTCATTTAAAGGAAAACCATAGTTGGTTTTCCTCAACTGAGTGATTCCAAAACTGCTTCGTCTATTTCATCTGGGATATTAAATACCTTTAAAAAATGCCTATGCAGTATATCTACAATCCCAGCATATTCAGCTGTTTTATGTGAAAATATGTAGTTTTCTTTCTGCTATATGACATAACAAGTAAATTCACTTCAGACTCTCAAGATGGATCATTGGGACTTTCCACCATACTGGTCCCTGTGCCTAACTGGGGCTTAATATTTGTAGTTTTCTTTCAGTCTAAACCTGTTCACCATAGCAGCCTTGCTAATATCTATCCCAGCATTCTTTTTTCCTGGACATAGCAATGCTTATGAAACTCTGCCCTCTTTAGCCTGGATTAAGCTTATGATGGCCTTCTGCCAAAATGCCTAAATACAGCTGGTCAAAATACATCCATCAGAGCAAAGCAACAAATGTAACATTGCTGTAGTTCTTATGTATAATCACATGAACACACAATCAACATGGTCTGAAACAGTAATTTCAACAGTCTTTCCGCTCTCTTTTTTCAGATGGCTGGTTTTATTCCAATAGGACTAATATGAAACAGTTCCCTCATACTAAAAAATATAAAACTAACACCATAAAAGCCCATTTGGGAAACATATTTTATCATTAATATAATTTAACAAGCAAACATGTGACAGTTTAACCCTTTTCTTTTGAGCTTACTATTTGATACTTAATGCTAGACAGAAAAAGCTTAAATAGACATTTGAAAGAGAATCATCATGTCGTGGCATCAGACTTACACAGCACTTTTCAGACCTTCAAAGATGTTTCACATGAAATCACTCATTCCTATTCACACACACATTCACATCTAATCACTTCTCATCTATCTGACCTAAAGCGTCTCAGTTCTGTCTCTGGAAACAAATGATCACCGTGGTGTTCCATCAAGGTCTGGCACAGCAAAGAGAAACAAGGAATGGAGCAAGGCATTGTGGGACACACATGCAGCTCAGAGGGCTAGTGGTATTCAGTTATTTTAAATGTATTTTTGATATGTAGAAAATAAGACTGGTCACAGTTAGGCCTGTCACGATAACAAATTTTGCTGAGCGATTGTCTAAAAAATTATTGTGATAAACGATAATTTTGTTTCAAGACCTTTTGACACTGATTTAATGGAAATGACTAATAATGCACGCTATTTACACTTTATTTTACACTTTATTTTCAAAAGAACACATAACACTGGAACTGATAAACTAAATAAACAAAACAACCAAAAACAAAAATAAAATGGATTCTCAGTCTCCATTAACAAACAACGTACTTGAATAAAAAGTAATCAACTATTAAGAAAATAAATTAAGAATATGCTAGTTTTAAAAACTTAATATGTCTTGATTGAAATAGCCTAATTATAGTTTTCAGATTTATAACTTATTCTGCCCTATTGACCTTTATTTTATCTGTAGTTGCAGCAGATTGTTTGCTAAGATCTTTTTGAAAGTGCCTTTTGTCTGTCTGGGAAACAATCAGGAGAAGTTCCAGCTTTTCACACTGATCTGTGAAAAGCCATAAAACAGCAGGAGTCCAGGCCAGTACAGGAGAGTCTCTGCTTCCACTCTGTTTAGACAAAGGGGACAAATGGCTTTTGATCTTGGAAACAAATTGCAGGGAGTTTCTAACTTTAGAGAGGGTCAGAGACAGCGCCTGGTTGGATGAGCAAAGATACCTTATTTGAATAAATTAAAAGACAAGAATACACCTTTACTATAAAAATTTGTGCAGGTGAGGAACAAATTAGATTTGCTCATGCAATTCTTTGCTTTTCTTTCTTTCTTTCTTTCCTTCTTCTTTCCATTTGTCTTAGGCAAATGAATGTATGTCTCTGTTGTTCTGCAGTTTCTGTTGTAATTTCATACGTTGTCTTCTATTGGATTAAACTCTGCAATTCTGTGACGTCAACACTCATTGTTGTTTTCTGTGTGGCTACACGCGGTCCGCCGGGAGAACCCGGGATCCGTAAGAAGATTGAGCCAGAGATATTTCCCAAAAAGCTTAAAATCTTCTTCAACACAACATAAAGCCAAAGTGGAAATAAATACTGCATTCAACCAAAACAGTGCAGATTATGAAGTCTGTATATTGCTCTTCAGTAATCACTAGGTTTAAATAGAGAGGATGGACATATCTGACTACCTAATGCAGTAGTTCACACTACACGATTTTTTGCCCCTATTTTCCCCTCAAGATAATCTTAGATCGTTGGCCGTTCTAAGATTGTCGCTGGTGATTTCGTAACCAATCATCCTGCAGTGTGATGTAGATCGTCGTGGCCTCTCTGATCTAAATCAGGGGTTTTCCCCAACTGGGAGCTTAACGCTGAATGTGACAGGTAGCCAATCAGAAAGCGTGGATTCACCTCCATGCTTTCTGAGGGGAAATTATGGAGGGGAATCCCAAACAGCTGACACGGCGCAACCCGATGTCCAGCGGACATCGGAGATGATATGTGGAAACAACATTAATATTTATTTAACATTTCGTGCAAAGAATATAGAAATAACAAGGGGAGGAGTTGAAGCCAAATTGCTACCGTAGTTGATAAACCCGGTATGTTTTCAGCTGTTCTTCGTTAACGTGACATAAATAGGTTAGAATGATTTTCATTCAGTCAAGACTTTACGCTGACTAGTCAGCCAACATGCCTAGGTGGGACCCATGTGGGGGAAAGGAGGGCTGATATATGGGTTCCATATGGGTTTGTCCGCGGGTTCCACAATGGCCCCACATGGGTTTGCCCATGTAGGGCTACAGCCCACATGGGCTCTACATGGGCCCTAAGTGGACAAACCCATGTGGGCCACCACCATATAGGCCCCATGCAGGGCCCATGTGGGCTCTGGCCCTACATGGGCAAACCCATGTGGGGCCATCGTGGAACCCGCGGACAAACCCATATGGGACCCATATAGTCTGCCCTCCTTTTCCCCACATGGGGCCCACCTAGGCATGCTGGCAGGGGCTAGCCACATGCATCACAGGTAGATTCTAATAAAGCATTGATTAATGCCTGATATTAAAATTAGTTAACTGGACTTGTAGCCATTATTTTGGGCTACAAGTCCAAAATAATGGCTCTGTGGCTGGACACCACACAGCACGATCGAACCTGATCGAACTCTGTCGGCTAATGTGTGGTCTCTCAGGTTTTGAAAATGGGCCGACAACTCGTGTCGGGTGCACTGGACATTACACTAAGGAAATAGGAAGGGAAGGTCAGTGGAGAACACCAGAGTTGAGCCTTTTTTTATTCAGTGTCATCAAGAGAAAGAAAAAAAAGTCAGGAAGAGACGACAAAGCCGATAATTAAAATGAGGTCGATAGGTTTAATTTATCGTGCGATTAATTGATTTATCGTTGATCGCTACAGGCCTAGTCACAGTATAACTTTCCTTCCACGAAAACTTCTAGAACATTTTTTCTTGTTGAGACAGTGAATACATTCAGGTTCTTTATACACTGAGCCCCCAACTTGTGAATATTTTGAGGAAATAAGTTGTGAACTCCCCAGCTAACCCTGCAGTGGCAGCTCTGTGGCTCAGTGAGAGGCAGCTTTGGCAACTCCCTGATGCCCAACCAGCCTGCACCTGAAACCAGGAACCGCTCAACTGCTAGTTAGGTGAAGCTGTGCAACACATTTAAGCTTAAGTACTGTTAATGAAACTACTTCCTGTTGACATAAACAGGTTCATCTGCTGGTGCTCTTATAGCGGGTTCTGTGCAGTCGAAAACTGCAATTATGCAATTATAAATAGAATTGGACAGACTTGAAGAAGGACTTTAAACAAAGCCATCAAAATGTAAGAAACATTTTTTAGTAACTACTCAAATCTGACAAACATGTTTGGACTCGTTGATCTGAGCTGTTGAGCAGATCTGCCTAACCAACCAGATGACACTGTTTTCACTGGTAATGAGGCAAAGAGTAAAGAAAATGAAAACAAACAACACCTGTGTATTACATATTCTCAAAGCTCACTCTCAATGAAAATCTCACCTTGGTGACGGCTACTTTTGCACCTTTGTTGATAAGCTGGACCACATTGTCAGCTTGTCCCTTGTGTGAAGCTATGAGGAGGCGCTCGGAAAGTGCGAGGACCTCAGCTGCATCCTGCTGGCTCATGAAGCAGGGCGAGTGATGTGGCTGTCTTTGAACACAGAGTTCCAGATGCTGAGAAATGTTGAGAAGGTGAAGCTGTTTGGTAATCTAGTTAATCCACAGGGCTGCAGCATGGCTTGCTGGGGGCTGTCAGTGTCACTGATTTCCTGTTGCTAGAAGTCACCCACTCGGCCAGGACAGCATGCCATCATACACCTATAGTCTGGGAAACCCAGATAAAGAAAAAAAAATACACAAAAATCAGTGTGTTGCTCTACTCACATCAGCTTCAACAGGAAAACAGAGAGGGCTGACACGTCTCCTGTCCAGTTAGTAAAACCTATCTGCAGTCCTTCAGGGATCATGTGAGACAGACCAACATAAAGAGCAACATAGAGGGGGCAGATTTGTTGACCAGAACCAGAGCAGCTCATACAGTGATAAAAACACTAAATCATATTGAAATGTAGATATTTTTAACAATAAAAAGGAGAGTTTGGAAATTTTCTAAAATCTCAAACTTGATATTTTAAGTCAAGTATTTGAAGTTACCAAGTTTGAGACTTCAGAACATTTCCAAAATCTGATTGGATCTTTGGGATTTATACACATGAGCAATGAGCCCCTAACAGGTTAACTCTTTTGGGATGAAACCTCAAGTCTCTGTCTGGATATATTTGCTTATTTTAATTGTAAAAAGTTCTTTATATGTCCTGTGAGTAGATATTTTTACCAATTTCTCCGCAACAACTGAAACTTTCAACATCTAGCAGTTATTTAGAATTTACAGTCTATGAAGAGTGTTTCATTCAAGGATTCAAGGATTTTTTATTGTCATACCACCTTGCTTGTTTGCAGTATGAAATTCAGACTCAGAAATACAAGTGTGTATTTCACCCTGTTATGTTCCTAACCTATTTGTGTGTGTTTGTGTAACCTAACCCTAGTGTATGTAAGCCTACACTTAGAATGTGAATTTAAATTTATGTATATCTACATGACTTTTATTTAAACCAAAATTGGTCAAACAGAAAGGAAGAACAGAACAAGGCATGCCTAACAAAATTTAGAGTTGCAGAAGAAACATGAGAGGGGAAGAAAGAAGGAAAAAGTATCTGATGAAGACACGTGTTCACAGGGGGCAACAGGACAAAACGAAATGACACAAATACAAATTAACAAAACGAAGGGAAAATATAAAAAGAAGACAAACCGCATTCAATAGACATTACATACTGTTATTACATACTCTTTATGTGTGTATGGTTTCATTCTTACTGTATCAAACTGCTTATAAAGTCTTACTAGCTACTTGATCCTAACTTAACATTAGTTGTTGACATTAGTAAAGTGCAGCCAAGTTGCAGCTAATGCAACCCTGCAGCTCCAGCAAAAAAAGATGAAGTGCATTCAGCCCAACAATTGTCAAGTTAATTCGAGAAGAACTGAGTAATAACGAAGAAGAAAACAAACATTTTAACCCTTATTTCTGAGAAGGGAAATTACAAATGCAATTATGAAATATTGGTCATCTCTAGATCATATAGCCGCAATGGAAAACGGGAAACAGTGTGCTGCCTTCTGATAGCTATATTTTGGGCCTCTGTCTTCCAGATACCTTACAAAGTCATGCACACAAGTTTATAAGTCAGAAACAGGAGCAGAGGGACAGTGTACATTTCCATAAGTCTGTGATGAATGTCACCCAAATTTCAGCAAATACATTTTATTCCAGAAAGCCGGGCAGTGACTGGCATTCAGCAGCAGGACTGAACCACACTCCCATGGCCCTGCAGGGCAAAATCCAGACAAAATGGATTATCTTTAAGATGCTTTCTGATGAATGCAAAAAAATAAAGAATCCACTATGAATCAATTCATGTAATGTTTATTTGCACTGCGATGTGATTTTATACATAATACATCATGTATGCATTATGGGTTATATCCCAGATGGATACAGAGAAAAGGGATCTAATGATATGCATCTTTAAAATCTAAAAAATAGCATATAATTGTGTCTGTCATGTCAGTTCACCTTGTATCTGTGCGGTTTTGATGTTTGGGTCAGACTGATATATGAGTAGGCCTGTCACAATAACAAATTTTACTGGACAATAAATTGTCCCAGAGCTTATTGCAATAAATGATGCTATTGTTGTTTTGAGAACATTTTTAAGTAATATGATATTAACAATGGCATAAAAATGCAGAGAACACATCCTCAATGATCAATAAACTTTCAATTCTAATGAACATTTAAACACAGGCACTAGAAGACATTTGGAATATCCAAAATAAATATAGAAAACAACAGAAACAACAATTAAAATGAATTGTCCAAAACTGTCCTTCAAAAAACAGGGCTTGAGGCTAATGCACCAGATTGAAGATTTAAAGATGACATCACAATCTATGGGTTTCAGCTGGTCCTAAACATGTTCTAACTCTTCTGTAGTTCACCTACAAACTCCAATCAACACACCGAACAAAAAAGGATACAAATAAAGAGTCCTTAAATCTCAGTTTCTCTAAATTCTTCTACAAACAACAGAGTATGGTGAGATTTAAAACATAACCTTTTACAAAATATTCAAAATAAACAAAACAAACTGAGAATCAAATGAAGGCTCTAACAGGACCCTGTCTTTTGGCTACCAGAGGTCAATTGTTTGTACGAAATAAGTTCCTTTGCACCATGGTTACACTTGAATGACACCCTCATACCAGTTAAAAACTGAATACAATTAAGTAAAGCAGGGAATTCTCTGGCTGACAGCATTCCACACAATTCTGCAGAGAATCCCCTCAGTCATACTTGCCTCACAAAGTAGGCGCAGCAGGGTCAGAGAGGCTCCTTACTTTGCAGCTAGGCAACGTGCTTTTGTGCAAACTTTCTGGAAGTCTGATCTCAGTTCAAAATAAGAAAGCCTTCCCTGTTCACATGGCTCAGGGAGGAGGCCTTGGTGAATACTTATTAACCTGTTCTCCCAAGAGCAATAACAATCTTTGCAATTACATAAAACAAATCTTTGGAAGAACCAAGTTATTAAACATTTTTCTCATATCAGCTGGACTAACACAACAATGTCCTTCTTGCTTTTTTATCACCCTTTGCTAAGAGGTCAGCCTGGGGTCAACAGCTTGGCTCCTCACGTTCATTGGAATGCACACAGCTCCTCAGTGATGTGTATCCCGAGTAGTTTTCTCATCACTCGTTGAACATGTCTTGCAGGTATCAGCTACTTCTGGAGATCTCAAATACGTCACCCCTTGGGGTCGCAAAACTATAGCCAATGATTTGGCAACCATCTTCAGTTTTGAGCTTAAATTGTTACTGTACTGTGGTATTTTAAAAGTCTGCATTTAATTTACTGAGAATGTTGTTTTGGTCTCACTATCCTGAAAAAATCCATCTTGAAAAGCATGCAGCGTGCAGTTTATATATTGATTTCAAATCAAAAGATAGGAAGGAATTTGTAGAATGAAAAAAGTCCAGATGGTTTAACAGGTGTTGAGAAACAGTGAATGATGCTTGGGGCCAACCACACCTAAAGAAAATGCTGCATTCAATATTTGGCAATGATTTGATTTGATGCTCAATTCACATCTAAAAACAACGGCCTACTGGAGCACTGACTGCAGCTTCAGAGCAGAAGTCTATTTGGATGCATAGCTGAAACCAGGAGTGGCGGCTTTGTGATGTGATGTGCTTCTTTCATAATTTCAGAATCATAATTTTCAGCCATTGTTTACGTTCAACTTTACCACCATTTGCCAACCAAATGTACTTCTTCTGGTGCAGAAAGATGATGCATGTCAGGGATGTAAAAGTCGGCTGTTCAGACGGCAGACGCTTTGAAAACTATTGGATACATGTCAGATTCAGCACTACATATGGAAATAAAAGGACCATAAAAGATCAGAAATTCATTTTTTATGTTTTTCTGCACTGTTCAGACCCAGTTAGCAAATCAGCAGTATCAAAGATTAATTCTAAAAAAAAAAAAAAAAAACTGTCGCTCATGGAGAAAAGTCATGATTGGCTTTTATTTTCTAAGGAGAACATGTTTCTATTGTTGTATTTTTAGTGAAAGAAAAGGAAGGCAATGGGCCCATGCCACAACCCTCACTTCACTCTAAAGAGGTGTGAATATATTTCATTTGCATTTAAAACATCTTGCTTATTTACAAAATCTATTTTGCCTGACTTGCAATGGCAAACAGGATAAATCAACCAACGTAGCTTTAGTTTACATTTTTAAATAATTTCAGTTACATTTTAGATTCACTTTTACTGCTTGTATTTAGCTGTCTTTAACAATGATCTTTGACATTGATGTGTTTTAAACCTAAACGGGCCAGTCGGAGTCCTACATCGCCCTCCCCTGATCCAGACTGATATAATGAGGCTAATGCTCTGAACTCAGAGGGATCAGGTGTTCACTTATGACTCCTACATCCTGTCTCTTCTCCAGCTGGGAGAGCGAAGTGTCAGCTGTGGAGCAGAGCATCCTACAAAGACCCCCCTCACCACCCATCCACTTGAGTGAACATTATGCATGGAGTTTACTGGTTATAGCTAAGCATAAATAGTTAAGCAGAACTGAGATGATAGAGAGATGAAAGCCCCTTTTAATGCCAAAAAGTATTAAAAAGAAACTTTATGTCCAGCTTTTACAGCAGAAAGCAAGAAATAGACTTAGAATTACTGTAAAAATCTTTATGTATAAAAGATCATTTTAAAAACAGAGTAAGGCCATCCTTATATAATAGTCTGACCTCCTTATAAATCTAACAATCACCTCAAGTGTCTGGTTTCATAAATGTGTAAATGGGCCTTTGCCTGCACACTATGATGCAATTATACACTTGGTAACTTCTGCCTCTGTCAGCTCTGGTCTGTGCTAATCAGCTCCCCAGGGTCACACGCAGATGGACAGATGGACGTATCGCTGCTATTTCACTGCATTGAATTATTTCATTTCATACAGTCATGAAATTATATACACTAAGTGGGTAGCCATTTGATTTAAACATTCAGGACATAACTGAGTAATTTTTCTTCCTAAAAGCTTCTCATATTTTCATTTGGGGCCACAAAATAATCTGCTGTGCCTTTTTTATATTATCTATTTAACAACAAACGAAAGATGAAAGATTTTTATTGAATTGGAAAACAATAGAGTCATCTTAAAATAAAGAAATATAAGATAAAACTAAAATTTTAAAATGCTACACTAAATCATAAAATCATTCTACCTTCATCATCCTCCTGGTTTGCTCCAATATGCAGCTGATGGCCTCCTGGCTGCTCTTTGTAAGCACCCTGGACTGTGGTTCAGCTTGTTATCAACCAACATTAAATGCTGCAGAGCAGTGAAAACTCTAACATATGCATCATTAGGTTAACAAACACGGAAAATAATTTAAAAACAAACAAAAAAGTCTTATCCATGTGTAGCCTGAACCTTCATGCACTCTGCTGTTCCCAGATCATTTCTTCCTCTGCCTTCTGGGTGGAAGTTTGTGTTTTACTTACAGTTTATTGCTAGAACACATTAATCAACACTGCATAACCTCATAACTATGCATCTCATTACCGGGTGTCCTGACTGACCCCGTATTATCTGAATATTAAGGATAAACCTCAGGCAAAATTCTGACTTGCAGAGAAGTTTTCCGTTAATCCCGCTGTACCTTATCCAGGTGCTTCATTATTCAGAGCCTGTAGTCTAATTTGTGTCCAGCACGACAGTGATTGAGGGGTTTTGTGATTCTACATAATAACTCATCTGCCTCATAGCATTATCTTGTGAGGTAACTCCCCGGAGGTCGGAATTCTGAGAACGTAATGTGAGCAGAGAGCGGATCTAAACAAGACTGCTTCAAGTCTCTTTCTTCACCCCGACAGGCTGCAGTTTGTTTCACTTTTCCCTGAACTGAAGCAGGCGGAGGGAAAGCAGCGAGCTGAGGCTCAGAGAGAGGGAAAAGCAGCTAACCCAGCCACAGCTACACTCTTATCTACATGGTCACCAAAGCTGCGGGCGTCACAAGTTTACGAGGCGATACAACAGAAACAAAACCCGAAAAGCATATTAGAAAATGTTACGTTTAATCTCGCGGAACACTTTGCTTCTACTTTAGCCCGACTGGCGTCGCAAATATAATTTTGAACAAAGGTTCCAACTGTGAATCACGGAGCTCCCTGTTCAGTCCAGCACTGCGAAAACACGGTGCAAAACCGGAGAGTTAATCAGCAAACTCACCTCAGGACGAACAAACAGTGTCGAGGTTCGAACCGAGCTCCAGAATAAACTATTCCAGCTGCCCACAAGAGGAGGCTACCCGCTGTCTGCAGGAAATGAGTAAAAACCCACTCAGGTCCGTCCGCGCTTCTCCCGCCGCCCCCCTCAGTGTCCCAGTCCCATGTCAACAGCCGCGGCTGCTCGGAACGAGGAAACACTTCCTCCTTTCTACCAGGCAGATTCATTTTCAAATAGTTTTTCAATATAAAAAAACCAAACAAAAAAATAGATTAAAAAAACCACGCAGATGTCAGTAGAGAATGTTTCTCATTCTTCTCATCTCTCCAGATAGTAAACCTCTCATCGGCAAAAGGCTACAGGCAAGTTTTCATTATAAAATATTAATAAGCGTTTCAGCACGAGCTGTAATAACACCAGCTTTATGTCTTTTATCAGTGACTAGAAAGATGAGTCACAAAGTTTAAAACCTTTTTCAATAATATTAATGCACATCAATATAAAGTGTCAGAATAAGACGAAATCAGAAGAGTCATAATTTCCAGACAGAACACTTAAACTGCTAATTTGTTGTTGCGCAATACTGCTTGGTAAAAAATATGTTGAAAATCTGTTTATTCGTGGATTTAATTCAGTTCTTCTATTTTGCTCATAACTGCATTGTTTCTGCAGATGTGGCATCATTCAAGGGGAAACAAACCGTACATTTATTGCAGCCGTGACCCCAGGCCACTCACACTGAGCTGAGGGTTTGTGGGAGGGTTCTTCCTGTAAAAGGGAAGTTTTCATTCTTTTGTCATACATGCTGAGTATGAGGGTCTGCCTACAGCTAACTCCAGGCAGCATGTAGAGCCCACTACATCTACATGCTTGTCTAGGAGTGAATGCTGCACACCAGTGATTCAATGCAATCTGCTGGGTTTACAAATATGGAAAGCATTTTATCAGTGTGAATAATGAACTGAACTTGACTGCATTGTTTGATAAGTAGGATCAATTTGATATGAATAATTGGATTGATCTTTTGCTCCTCTTGTTTGTTCGCTTCTTTGCTTGTTTTCTTTCTTTCTTTCTTTCTTTCTTTCTTTCTTTCTTTCTTTCTTTCTTTCTTTCTTTCTTTCTTTCTTTCTTTCTTTCTTTCTTTTTGAATGACATTCATGTAGCCATAAAAGACACTGGCGCTTTGCGACTGACTTTAGAGCAAACTGGCTGGTGTAGGCTTTCAACCTGAACATCCACAAATTGCCACAAGCAATTTGCCAGCTGATGCTTCCACCCTCAGTTAAATCATAGTAACGTTGCTGAGGTGAAATGTGCCTTTCTTTCTCAGCCGACCTTTGATGTTCAACAGTGGGTTTCTAAACAAAAGCAGAAAGAAAATCTTTCGGATTTTGAATGCTCAGATTCCAGAACAGAAATCTGACTCTGTATTACAGCATACCCCTTTTCTAGAGTTAAGCCTGAGGTAACATTCTGCTATTTTTTTTGTTGTTGTTGTTTTGCCATTGAGTGAGAGCAATGTGAACCTCTTTTGAACTGAACTCTGATGAGGACAGGAGCCATGTCCTACACATTTTGAATCTTGACTGGTCCTGCACTGTACTTAATAATACCCAGTCACTCTTCTTTCTATACCTTTTTCTTTCACTGACATCAGAAAGTGATTTAAATATGCAGAATAAGATCACAATGACTTAGTGTCTTTTTTCATAATTTAATGTGACACATTTGATGGAAGTACCACAGCATAGCCAGCAGATGTCAGTAGAGTCCTGGCATTATTGTGAAAATTGAGATTTAAAACTTTATCAGTCTTATTGAAGTTGGTCAAACTGACAGATGTTGCTGAGTGGATGTAGAATCTGTTGAACTTGCAGCTCAGATGATGAAGTTGGCAGTCAGGGGAAAGCAATTCTCAGTTTCAGAGCTGAGAAAGGAAGAATAATGGTTAAAAACAAATGACTAGAAAACCTGAATCAAAATGTATGACATGATAACACATATTCTTACAAAACAATATCCTCATGAGAATGTAGATAAACGCCAGTGCTACCAACTACACCACTGACAGAAAACGTTGAATGGAACATAAATTGCACTTGACAACACTGTTTTGTATAAAGTGAATTCAATTGAAACAGAATATAATAAACAGCAACAAAAGTGCCAAATAATAAAAATCTAATTGAAATCAGTCTGCTAGTGAGGCTCCACATTGCTTTGTTGGCACTGTATGTACACATAAACTTGAGGTTTCAGAGCATTCAGACTGAGAATCAAGCACAAAATCAAAGCTATGAAGCCTCAGGAGAAATCAGAGAGTAGAGCAGCAGGAGATCCTGATTTGCTCACGCTGTTCAAAGCACACTTCTTACATTTCTGTCAGCTCACATCCCCCTCTCCCATCAACTCCTGCTGATAACACAGTAAACTCTGGATTTAGTCCATAATTAACATTGTACTCTCTAAAATGAGCTCAGCCTTCTTCTTCTTGTGCCCGATTAGCTTTCCAATCATCAAAATGTTTTATACAAAATGTCAAAAGGTCTTATACTATCAGCTGGTTATGAAAAAGTCTTACAAAAACAGGCCTGCCTCTGTTATTCTCAACCTGAAGGTTGTGTTTTCACATACTGAGCTAAATTCACTTGCACAGATTCATGTGTCTTTACGTATGGAGGTAAAGCTGTATCAATATTCACAAATACACAGAAGGACTGACGTGCACAGAACAAGATTCATATTTTTATTTTTGATGCAAACACAAATATATCTTGATTTACAAGCTGCTTCTGGCCTGTGGGCTTCGCTGAATTTATGTGTGAATTTTGAGACTCCCCTAACATGGCTCAATCCACAAATGTATTTTTTAACAGGGAATGGTCAGACAGCAACCAATCAGATATCTTCCTTGTTTCAGTCAATGATATGAATGGACCCCACATTGTGGTAACTGATGGATAAGCCAATCACATTTACCCATTGCAACAGCACTGAAGCCATGTTAAAGTACAATTTAGACCTCAGATTGGTTTCTGGCAGCGACAGAAGAGCGGTAAGTCAAATATTTATCTTAACATATTTAACTACTTGTCCTCTTGCTATGAGTATTACTGATAATCAATTTAATTAACATTAATAATGGGGGCAACTGGGTATGTCAGCAGCAGTGCAGTTGCTGTGCCACATTGATGTAGATGCAGAGAACACTCTCCACCACACAGCAATAGATGCTCCTCAGGACTGAACACCCAAGTCCAGCTTTCCACATCTCCTGAGGAAGTAGAGACACTAGAGACACCTCCTGACCAGATGGGAGGTGTTGCCAGTCCAGGTGAGGTCACTGGATATATGCACACCCTGGTACCTGTAGCTGGAGACCACCTTGACAGCTGTAGATCTGATGGCACGGGGTGGCATTAGGGGGCATTGCTCGACCACAGAGCCAGTCGCATTCGTATCTTCATTTAATACAGTAGAAACTCCCACACTTGTGCCTGTTGTCCCACACACTTTTTTTCAGCTGGCTTAATCCATTGCCAACATGTCATAACTTGTTGCAACAAGTTTGTTTCTGTTTGTTTCTGGTCAGGAAAGCCCACTATCCTGAGATGCTTATGCCTGTTTTAACACTTGTGTGGCAGTGACACAAGTGTTTTTCTGGGAAAAAGGGTTCTCCTGCTACTGTTGTGCAGAGCTGTGCAGGTGTGTGTTAGAATCATGTCAGCAAACCAGCAAAAGGCAAAGAATTTGCACAGTTTTCCCCCCAAACTAACTGAGTGAATCGAATAATGTTGTTGGATGCAGGTATTGTTAGCTACCCAATGGCAATATAGCACATTAAGCTTGTTAACAAGAATAGGTCATTGATTTTGTTATTTATGTTCAAAAGTGGGTAGTACTGGTTACATTCACTTGAATAACTTTCTGGGAAAAAGGGTACTTATATGAGTAGTTGTTTATTTTGCATTAATAAACAAGGGTCTTTTTTTTTTTACTTGAAAGGTTACATAAAGGTTTGTTTATGTATTTATATTAAAGTAAAAACTTGTTTTTTCTCCTCTCCCCCAAAATAAGACAATGTCCTGCTAAATCCCTCTGGAGCCAGGGCTGTATGGAAGGAGAAGCTCTCTCGTCTCTAGATGTCATCCAGAGCAACAGCAGCATGTGAGCTACAAGTAGGTCTTCCCTCACCACCCGGAGATGAAGTACAGCTTTCCAAACTGAAGGAAACATTTTCCTTTTTTCTTTTGCAGCTTTATTTAAAATGCACACACTCAGCAGTACACACACCAGTAGATCAGGTTGAATAAGATGTAAGCGCCTGGGAAGATCATGCGGGAGTAAGTGTCAATGGTGTGGGTGTTCTGGATTATGCGGAAACTGCGAATGCCCTTCTTCTTAGTCTCTGTGGACTCATTGTCCAATGTGAGATGGACCACCATCTGCTCCTGTTTGTCGGATGGATCCTCTGCTGCCATAGAGGCTCTGGTGTACCCTGCCAGACTGTTTGCATCTGCCTCGCTGTACATTCCATCCAGCATCATGGTCTTGGTGTGAGGCATGCCACAAGTACAGGGCAACGTTTGGGACTGGGTGAAAGAAAGGAAGGAAGTCATGACCGAGTCTAGGAATTTTTTGGAACTGGTTGTTATTGATTTTGAAATCATATCATACCTGTTCCTTTAGTTTTTCTCTTAGCTTCCGGTCTTTACCATCCCTCACTGTGGTCAGATAGTTGACTGCTGCATATTCAAGCACAGAGAGGAATACAAAGACAAAACTAACCCAGAGGTAAATGTCGACAGCTTTGATGTAAGAGACCCTTGGCATGGAGGCGTTGACTCCAGTAATAATAGTAGACATAGTCAGCACTGTAGTTATACCTGAAGCACAGAAAATAGAACAACTCTGTTTGTATAGAGGTCAATGAGGGCTGCAGAGAAAACACAAGAGTTATCAAAGGATTGCATAAATTACTTAGTAACTTCCAGTCATGACAATAAGGAAATGTCACTTAACTCATGTAAAAAGAAAAATACAACCCATAATTTAAAACTACAGTACGTAACTTTTACAAAAATATATTGTTTACATATTTGTTAAAAGTGTCACCATGTCCTGACAGCATAATATGAGACAAATAATCTGTGAAAAGATTGATCTCCTCCACCTCCACTCCAATACGACAGATGTTTTCATGGCGTAGAAGATGAAGACTGCAAACAGTCAGACCTGTAACTGAGCCGCATGCAGCAATAAAACGTGAGCACAGACAGGTATGCACAGGTGGTGCTTCTGAGCTACAGCTAGACTTCAACTCCTGTGCTGTGAATGGAATATCAGCAAGCAACTGACACAGCAAGAAAGAAAGATAAGAAGAAAGACAGGAAGAAAGGAGGAAGGAAAAAAGATAGGAAGAGAGAAAAAAGAGAATGAATGAGAGAATGAAGCAAAGAAATAAATAAGCAATGTTGTTGAACTCAGGATCTCTGTCACAAAATGAAGACCAGTGTCCCATCAAATTTTATCTTGATTTTCCAGAGATTTTTTAAACTGCCGTTTAGTGAACTGCTCACAAGAACTGAACACGACCCAGATGTTAATTTTCTGTCCAATCTTAATTTGTTCTATGTCTCAGGATACATACAATGTCCTGTTGAGATGAACAAATTTCGATTTGAACCAGCACAAAGGTTTTCGTTACCTAAAGAGACTCTGGCAGGAACAGCCCTGCGGTCGATCCAGAAGGACACCCAGGACAACATGACCATCAGAGTGGCAGGAAAGTATGTCTGCAGCAGGAAGAAGAAGATGTGCCGTCGTAGGGTGAAGTTGATGTACAGCCGGTTGTACCAGCCTGAAAAACAGGAAACGATGCAACCCAGTTGTTTGGTGAATGTTCTGATGAACAACCCCAGACCATGTTTCTGCCACCACCATGTCTCACTGTGGTTTTGCTGTTCTTTTGGTGATGCTCAGTATTTTCTAGGTCACAAATAACATTTAAAATTGGGATCCAAAAGTTTCAGTTTGGTTCTTTCAGATCATAAACTCTCCCACTCCAGCAACAGTTGATTTATACTACCAGCTCCTTATCATCTACTCTGCATGCATCTTTGCAAAAGTAAATATATTAATAATATTTTCTTGTGTATTATTATATACACAAAAATGTGTATATTAATAATGTACACACTTATTATTACATAAATCTAATTTATGTCAAATTAGATTTGTCATAAAGTCCAAATACAGTATGAAGATTCAAAAGCACAATCGCTCAAAACCCTATTAATATTTTTCAGCTTATAACATTGTACATCATAAATGCTTTTACAATTTACACCAGACAGATTTACTCGGTAATTATACACACAAAAATACCTGTGCTGCTGTAGAAAGCCAGTCTGGAGGTGGTGTGAAACTTCTGGATGAGAAACTGAGATAAAGAGATCCTGTCATCTGTACTTAGGGATTCATCCCCACTTTTCCAGTAAAGCATCAGGTCTTCATCAGTGTAAGCGTCTGAGGGACAGAAAGCACAACCAGAGCAAGGAGATACTTTGGTTGGATCAGATGCTTTTAGCGGTTAACATATTTATTGAAGGTTTTCATTACAAACATCCAAACATATCAGAGTTACCAACGAGGTGACTTCTATAGCAAATACTTATTTGTTAAAATTATCACTATGTCATGACAGCATAACATGAGACAAAAAAAATCAAGCTTAACTGCTTTAATTGAGCTTTAACTGAGTTGTTCCTATCTCCTTCTTTGTCAGTGCCTTTGAAAGCTCCATTTCCTATCAAATGTTCTAAAGGGCTCAATGCTGAATCAGCAACACGTGTGTTAGTGTACTGCACTAAATTGAAGATATGATTTGATTTAAAGAAATGCTCATAGGTTTCAGTGGAAATTTAATACAGAAGTACCTTATGATTATATTAAATAGTAGCATAAATGTGACGAGGTAGGGAAGGAACTTTAGAAGAGGAACAAAGGATTTCGATGTGAAATGCCTTTACAGTGAATCAATCAGAGCAACAGAAAAGGATGTCAGCAAAGTGACTGAAAAAGCACTGGATCTTTAAGGAGTTCTACAGAAATGGCGGAATTACATTCTGCCATCTTTAAACTGCTGTTTCCACTTAGTGAGGTTGGTTCATAAGCTTTTGCCAGAATGTCCATAGCCACTTGTAAAAAGAAGCACAGTGAGACAAAAAGCTGTAAACTCAGTGTTTGTGAAACTCACAGCTCTCCAGCTCCAGAGTGCATGTCTGTGAGTCCAGAGGGAAACGACTGAAATCCATGTTGCAAGCAGCAGTAACTGTTACCCTGAGGGATAAAGAAAGGACAGTGTAAAGCCCAGCAGCGCGGGAGCCTGCCAGCTTGGATTTAGTTGGGTTCCTCACCTCAGGCTGTACAGAACATGGCCATCTGGAAAGACCCTCAGCATGATATTGTCGGTGGTGGTGTCATGGATGAAGGACCTCTTAGAATGGACGAAGAACACATCAGGGACCCAGATTTTTTTCACTAGGCGCCCATCAAAAGTCATGCTCTTATTTGTGGCGCTTGGAAAAGCCAACCTTTCGTCCTTCCAGTAGTGCCTTAGATACAGAGTCATGGTGAAGTCCTAAGGGAGGGGGATTGACGGTGGGCGGCATAAACAGATTCAGGATTAAGTGTCAGTAGAGGGACTACTTGCTTGCTTTCTCTAGTGTATTAAATTCCTCCAGGATTACAGCAGTCTGACCCATGCCAGCTGGATTATTGGTTATGTCGGGACCAAATGCACATACTCTACAGACGTGTGAAACATATGTTCACTAAATCATCTAACTGGCCATGGCTTCCATTGATCCAAGCTGATTGGAGTGCTGTTGCCTCACATTACCCTGCTACTTTACATCTGAAGGATGCTCTGCTGCAGCGCTGCAGCCCCGTATACGGATCACTCTTTGCCCTGTTCTCCTCACGCCATTATATAAGACCAGATCACTTAGAAATAATAGCTATGACAACACATTGTACTATTGGCATACACCAGAAGAGAACCTTTAATGTTGCATAAGAGGAGAAATTGGACATTTCTCAAATAAATATGACAGCAAAGAAATATTCTTTATTGTCCTTCACTGAGGTAATTCAGCTGCTTCAGCACCAAAGTGGCAGAAACACAAAACCTAACAGACACATAATGATAGAAATATTGTCTAGGTAGACAATTTCTGACATAACTGTACATGTTTGGTTCTGAAGGATTCCATAAAATGTGAATATTTAAAGTCTTTAATGCTTCTTATGTTATGTATTGTAATTATTACTAACTGGAATATTATTTATTACTTATGATTTGTCCAATCATGCCCCCACTGTGCTGCTTTCACAGAAATAATTGGTCTAGTGTTCTGCTTTTATTGACTTAAAGAAGAGAAATAATAATTGTAATTATTCCAAAATATTTAAAATCAAAATCAGAATATATTGTTTTAATTTAAAGCAGAGTGTGAAGTAAACTCTCTGTGAAAATGTTAGAATGATTTCTTTGTCATAGGAAGACAAGCAAGACTGTTTTTATCTCCTAAAATATGTGTCAATTTACTCTCACTGTTTATTTTAAATTATATGTTTGGCAGAGAAAAAGAAGTTTGTGGAAACAACCAACACATAAGACGGATATTATTTTTAATTCAATGTTCAATACATGAATTGATTGACTTACAAAAAGTACATAGTTATTTGCTGTATGTGTGTCTTAAATATCTGCATAGTGCAGTCATATTCCATAAATTATACAGCTAAAAAGTTTGTTTATTTCACTAACTGAGTTCACCAAGTGAAACTTAAAGATAGTCAGAAGGTACTTTTAATCTGACAAACGAGACAAACAGCAGATCCTGTTTTACAGAACACGACTGTACAGATATCAGGGGTTTTATTGTTACGCTGTGATTGTATAGTTAGTTGAGAGTGTCAATTATGCCCACTGACGTTTTGCCTTGTGTTTATAATGTTGAATTATTACAAATAAGTTACAAAATGAAAAAAAGTTTTCAAGTTAATGTGTAGCTGGTGATTTAAAAAAATGGACAGAAGCCTGGCAGAAGACATTCTGCTTTTCAAAACTTTGGCTGCTGAAAAGAGAGCAACAACATGACCTGAAAATCACATTTCACTCCACTGGCTCCAGTTGCTGAACTACAATTCTTTGTTCGACAGTAAAGAACATTTTTGTGTAAGATGCCAGGTCAGTTTCAGATCATTTTGAATGATGTGAATGCAAGTTAATAAGAAGGATGAAAAATTGGACAAATCAGCAGATGGTCAAAAAAACAGCAAATGATTATGACTCAGAACTCTGCACACTCCAACATTCTGATTTAATGTCATTACCAGCAGCTATAGGCTAGAATCATTCATGTTCTTCCTTCTGTTCCAAAACAACTAAATCCACAACCTTGGGATCCAAATTAAACATAATCCTCATGCGCCCTTGCAAACATGAGATTATACAACATAATTTCCGTCCAATCTATAAACAGAGCAGAAGGCTGATTTAATTACATCAGTCAAACCTGTTTAATTTATTCTGATGATCAACAAAAGAGGTGTTTCCTGAAAAAGAGCGTGAATTTTACTTGAATTATCATAAATTGCTCTGTCACCGTCAGCTTCATAGTTCAATTTAACTAAACTAGAAATTATTCTGAGCTGCATTTAGTTGCTCATCAGAATCAATAAAATATCTTTGAGTTGAATTGAATTGAATTTTGTGCTGGAGTTAAAATTCTGCACTGTAAAAAAAAAACGGCATCATTTTGCGGTAAAAAGCTGGCAGCTGAGTTGCCAGAATTTTTCTGTCTTTATACGGTAAAATTCTGGCAACCAAAACTGCCAGTTTTTTACCGTGTTTTCAAAATACGGTAACATACTGGCAACCAAAACTGCCAGTTTTTTACCGTATTTTAGAAATACGGTAAAATACTGGCAACCAAAACTGCCAGTATTTTACCATATTTTAGAAATACGGTAAAATACTGGCAACCAAAACTGCCAGTATTTTACCGTATTTTTAAAATACGGTAAAATTCTGGCAACCAAAACTGCCAAATTTTTCCCCGTATTTCCCAATACGGTAAAATACCGTATTTCCTAAAATATGTTAAAAAAAATTTAAATGTGGATTTGCCGTAGTAAATACGGTCATACTGCCTGAGGCATAATATCTACATAAGTGAAAAACACGGCCAGACTGTATGATATATTGACATTTTATTGTAAAAAAACCCCCCCAAAAACCTTATGGTAAATTACTGGTCACTGTTCTTAGCAGAATTTTACCATAAAAATTATAGTACAACACACAAGGAAGTGTAAATTGTCAGCATTTCTATACAGAAAGTTATCCATCCATCCATCCATCCATCCATTTTCTGAACACCCTTGTCCCTCAGTGGGGTCGGGAGGGGTGCTGGTACAGAAAGTTATAAAGAAAATAAATTCAAATTAAACAAAAATACAGATTACGAGTAATCCACTTAAAGAAACAATTTCTATTTAAAAATTCAGTTAAAAAAAACGATTCTATTTTCTGTCCAGTTTCCTCACGGTGTTATTGAGATCTGGAAAACAAAACAAACAAACAAAAAAACAGCATGTGTCCACATAAGAGATAGCCTGTTGTAGAAGAAAAACCGGTGATAAAACGATTCTTGTTCTGGGTTGAGAGTAACAAGTCACTGAGTTCAGAGTTTGCTCAGGATGGTTGTAGTCTTCCCAGTCACAGGTTGAAATTGAGACTCACATGTTGTCAATC